AGGGAACCAGGATCAATTCCCTTCCTACCAATAGGTCAACTAGCCAGAATGGGGCAAAGGGAACCAGGATTAATTCCCTTTCTACCATCACGTCAACCAGCCAGGATGGGACGAAGGGAACCAGGATTAATTCCCTTTGTACCGTCAGGTCAACCTGCCAGGATGGGGCAAAGGGAACCAGGATTCCCTTCCTACCAATAGGTCAACTAGCCAGGATGGGGTGAAGGGAACCAGGATTAATTCTCTTCCTACCACGTCAACCAGCCAGGATGGGGTGAAGGGAACCAGGATTAATTATCTTCCTACCATGATGTCAACCAGCCAGGATGGGGCGAAGACAACCAGGATTAATTTTCTTTGTACCATCAGGTCAACTTGCCAGGATGGGGCAAAGGGAACTGGGATTAATTCCCTTCCTACCATCACATCAACTAGCCAGGATGGGGTGATGGGAACCAGGATTAATTCCCTTTGTACAGTCAGGTCAACTAGCCAGGATGGGGCGAAGGCAACCAGGATTAATCCCCCTCCCACCTGTCAGGTCAACTAGCCAGGATTTAGCCCATCTTACCAATCTGGCCAATGAATTCCACCTTGATGCCCTGGTGTTCCAGGCGTTTGTTGGGGTGCTTGAGGGTTAAAATGACCCTCCCGGAGACGGTCTCGCCGTCGTAAAAGAGGAAATACTTCTCCTTCTTGCCTTCCTCCGTCTTGTGTTCCGCCCGGCGCCTGCTCTCGGCATCGCTCAGCACCAGTTCCAATTCGGCGCTCTGTCCAAACCCAAAGAAGCTCATCTCGGGGCTGGAGAGGAAGGCGCGGGTACCAACCCCACCCCTTCCAAGAGGTCCCAACCGGATCCCAGGCCAGGGATGCTCAAGGGATGCTGCAAAGATGCTGAAGCGGCCCCTGGACCACTTTGCTGGACCACTTCAGGCCAGAGATGGGGATGCAGGGGGCGAAGCTCAAGGCCAAAAGGGACCCCCGCCGGCCGCTGGAGCCAAGGCAGACCCGGACATAAGGGAGCCTAAGGGTTGGGTGGGTGGGGTAGAAGGGGACCCCGAGATGCAGGTGCCAGCTGCAAAGGGGAGGCAGAGGCGCCCGCCGGCGGCAGCCAAGGCAAGGCGGGTGGGCGTGAGAGGGGCAGAGGGCGCAGCTTGCAAAACCGAGGAAGGGGAGGGGGCAAAAGCTCCCCGGGAAAAGCGTGCACGGAGAGGCATGCAAAGGAAGCAGCCGGGGGGAAAAAAGCAGGAGACCCCCACCCCACCCCCCTCTTTTTTTGAGGAGGGTTGCAAGAGGCTGCTGGAAGGGGATGCTTTGCACGGCGGAGAAGGGGAAAGGGGGTTTGCACGGGGGCGTTGCAAGGAAAGGCCGCAAAAGCAGCGGGGTCAAAAGAGAAAAAAAAATGCAAGGCCCGAGCAGCCGGGCCGGCTTCCTTCCAAGTGATGACAGCAGCCCGTCGCTGCGGCAGCCCGCCCGCCTCCCGCCGCCTCCTCCTCCTCTTCCTCTTCCTCCTCCGCTCGGGTTTGCAAGGCTGCAAGGGCTCGCGCGCCGAGTCCCGGACCTAGAAATCGGGCATCGCGCATGCGCCAGTCCCGGGGTTGGGGGTGGAAGAAAAAAAAAGGTGGGGGTGAGAGGGAGGCGGCTCTTGCACGAGCGCCTCGGCACAGCGCATGCGGGCTTGCCCAAAGGGGCTCGCCCGCCTGGGAACGCCCCTTCTTTGCCCTCTTTTCTCGGCGCGCAGGCGCGCCGCGCTCAGGCCGACGGCTCAGGCGTCCCCAGGCCGGCAGGGATTGGCTGACGGGCGGCGAGCGCGGCGATTGGTCGGTTCGAAGACGGCAGCGGCAGCGGCGGGGGCGGCCAGGGAGCTGCGCGCCATGGCGGCCAGGGAGCTCTTGGTGGGCGCGGTGGATCGCTGGGGATTGCGGGACGTCGACCGGGGTGAGCTGTGGGGAAGCGGGGAGAATTGGAGCTTCTGGGGTGGTGGGGGGCGTGGGAAATATAACCTCCAATGAGCGGCAGGGGCTGGGAGGTTAACCAGGCTGGGACGTTGCTTTTCATTGGATGGGGGACCACCAGGAGATCACAGGTCAGGAAGGAGCCTACCGGTTCTGGACCCAAGATTCTTAGCCCCGGGATGGGAGACCACCAGGAGATCACAGGTTGGGAAGAAGCCTGCTGGTTCTGGACTCAGATTCTTAGCCCCAGGATGGGGAACCACCAGGAGATCACAGGGCAGGAGGGAGCCTGCCAGTTCTGGACTCAGATTCTTAGTCCCAGGATGGGAGACCACCTGGAGGTCACAGGTTGGAAAGGAGCCTGCCGGTTCTGGACTCAGATTCTTAGCCCCAGGATGGGGAACCACCAGGAGATCACAGGGCAGGAAGGAGCCTGCCGGTTCTGGACTCATATTCTTAATTCTGGGATGGGGAGCTACCAGGAGATCACAGGGCAGAAGGGAGCCTGCCAGTTCTGGACTCATATTCTTAGTCCCAGGATGGGAGACCACCTGGAGGTCACTGGTTGGAAAGGAGCCTGTCGGTTCTGGACTCAGATTCTTAATCCTGGGATGGGGGACCACCAGGAGATCAGTCCTGGCAGCAGAGACTAGATTGAGAAGAGAAAAAGGGGCGACAACTGCTTCCATGCACCTGTCGAAACAACAGCAGCAATCACAAACCTGCCTGGTGGGTTGAGAATCTGAATATTCAAAGAGCAGCAACTTGCAGGAGGTACTTGACTTACAACTGTTCATTTAGTGACCGTCCGAAATTACAACAGCATTGAAAAAAGTGACTTACAACCGTTTTTCACACTTAATGACCATTGCAGCATCCCACGTGGGTGTGGTCACGTGATCAAAATTCAGCCGCTTGGCAAATGACTCCTATTTATGACGGTAGCAGCATCCCGGGGTCACATGACCTGCTTTTGTAATCTTCCATCAAGCAAAGTCAATGGGGAAACCCGTTTCACTTAACAATAGTGGCAAGAAAAGTCATAAAATGGAGGCAAAACCCACTTAACAAATGTCTCACTTAACAATAGACATTTTGAGCTCAATTGTGGTCGTAAGTGGAGGACTACCTGTACGGGATGAAATAGTTCATTATTGAGATGACTTTGTTGTCCAGGGTTCAAATGCTTGCCATTTCAACCTTGAACCTAGGGATAATTTGTAGATTATTAGAATCCACATTATAGATTCTATAGAAAAGGAAGTATAAAAATCCTTGGCAGTTCTATAATTGTGTCCCACCACTTTTTCATTTATTTTTTTCCCCCTTTCCTTTGAGTTTGCAAATCAGCTTGGCAATCCAAGTATTCTTTGCTCTGCACTTTCTTGAGATCGTACCCATTCTGAATGAATCCAGTAGATCCCATTCCTCAGTTTTATCGGTGGCCTTCCTCTTTTGCACCTCTTGCTATAAGTATGCTAAATATACTACCTTTTTGGTAGTCCATTGGCATCACTTGGCCAAAGTATATGCGTTTCTGCTTTTCTGAAGGCAAGGAAGCTGTCAATTTGAATTACTATATATACTAGCGTCCTGTCAGTGTGTGAGAGAGTTGAGGTCTGTTTGGAAAGTGAAACAGTATTTGCTGGGTGAGCAAGAAGGAACCTGGGCATGGCTTAGCTCAGCCCTTCTGTACTAAAGCTGCTTGGTGCTCTGAAACTGAAAGTGAAACTCCTCTGTGTTTTGTATTTGGAAGAGATTTCTTTTCAGGTGGGGAAGGGGAGTAGAACTCCTTGGCATCGGAACATGTTAATAATAATATCCGAAATACTAATGGTCTGATGGTCATTTCAAAAAATCCTTTCTTAGCACCTAGAAGCCAAGAGGAATATACGTGCCAAATTTCAAGTTTGTAGGTTTTACAGTTTTGGAGATTTTTTGATGATGCCTATAATAAACACACACACACACACACACACACACACACACACATACATACTCACACATGTGTGTGTATCATACATATACATATATACACACACATTACACACACACAAAGTTATTGAACCAAGCATGAATTATGAAGTCCTCTGAAATTACCAATTATTTTTTACAAGTGGAGCAAAAGCATAATAAATTTGGCAAATTTAAATTCTGTTTGACATTTTTAAAAATCCTCATGACTTATCCATACCTTAAAATGATGGAGAAAGCTACATTACAATTGCCTCCTGCATCTACTTCATGCTTTCTAATATTCTGCTTGGATGATGGAATTGCATCTTAAAAGAGGAGGATTATTTTTCTTAGTGCCATCAATTTATAAGTAAGATACTTGTTTCAATATTTACCCCGGAATTGCAAAAGCGGATATGCAATCATTACTTTTAATAAGACATTCTAATTTATGCTTCAGCCTTTTTTCTTCTTGCAATTCCATAGACGTTTTAAAAGATAATGACATAGAGAAGGGTGGTAATTTTTTACTCCCTGAATTGCTAGTGAGTCACAAATTTAATCTCACTTAGAGGAGGGGATTTTTTTTTTTGCTTTGTTTCGTTTTTAAAAACAAAAGTTACTGTGTATTATTTTAAACATTTATATATCCCTCTTCTAATTATCACAAAGCAGATTATATCATAGGTAATAAAGCAAAATGCAGTAAAAGAAAAAAAAATGTGTAAACAATTAAATCCTCTCGACATCCCGGGCCAAATGTGTTGCAAGAAGCAGAGGCTCAGCTGTTGGGTTGTATCTTGGGTTCAGAAAAAGGAAGGAAAGAGTATTTTATTTTTATTTTATTTTATTTTGTTCTGTTTTATATTCTATTCTATTCCATTCCATCCTATTCCGTCCTATCATTCATTCCAATATCCTATCCTATCCTATTGTTTTCCTATTCCCTATTATATTCTATTTTATTCTATTGTTTTCCTATTCTGTATTCTATTCTACTCCATTCCATTCCTTGTCTTTATTCTATTCTATTCCTATTCCATTCCATTCTACTCCACTCCTACTCCCACTCCACTCATTATCCTTTCCTATCCTAGTCTATTCATTGACCGCCCATCTCACTTACAATTACAAAACCATAAACACTGAACAGAAAATATTGTGTACATTCAATAGCGTCGTCCTTTTGTACCTTGGCAGTCTTTTCATTTCATCATTGACAGAAGCCTGCATCCTTGCTCTGTTTGAAATATTTACATTTTTCCCCTTTTCAGCCTGGGTTGACACTGTGTGGGAACTGGACTTCACCGAGACGGAGCCTTTGGATTCCAGGACCGAAGGCTTGATAACCGATGACGGTGTGGAGGCTTTTGTGCAGCTTTACAAGGCGCTGTATCCATTTTGTGCAGATGGCCAGGAGACCACGGAAGTAAGGAACGATTCTTTTCCCCTAACAACAATCAGCCAGCTTTATAGTGTCCTCGATTTTAAATCCTAATTACTTAGGCAGTAGAAAGATGAGAAGATATTTATCTAATGCGTTCAGATTTTTTTAAAAAAATATACATACATACATACATACATACATACATACATCCTGTCCTATTTTCCCCACAACCACCATCCTAGGAGGTGAGTTGGGCTGAGAGCGAGAGAGTGACTGGCCAAAAGTCAGTCACTCAAGAGGGGACTATAATTCACAGTCTCCTGGTGATTGGCCCAAAGTCACCCAGCTGGCTTTCATGCCTAATGCGGGACTAGAACTCACCATCTCCCGGTTTCTAGCCTGGTGTCTTACTCACAGTAAGCCTGCTGTCTTTAAAGGTAAAGGTTCCCTTCGCACATACGTGCTATGCATTTCCGGCTCTAGGGGGCGGTGCTCACCTCCATTACAAAGCCAAGGAAGAGCCAGCGCTGTCCGAAGACGTCTCTGTGGTCATGTAGCCAGCAGGACTAAACGCCAATAAGGTGCACGGAACGCTGTTACCTTCCCACCAAAGGGGTCCCTATTTTTCTACTTGCATTTTTTACGTGCTTTCGAACTGCTAGGTTGGCAGAAGCTGGGACAAGGAACGGGAGCTCACCCTGTTACGCGGCGCTAGGGATTCGAACGGCCAACCTTTCTGATCTTAGCTACTGAACCATCCCTGTCTGAACCACTATATTAAACTGGCTCTAATCCAAACTTGCCCTAATCATAAGATGTACTTACCGTGGCAGTAAATTAAATGAAAAATAGTACTCCAGCAGCAATGGGTGTTTTAGTCCATATCTCACCTACCGACTGCCCATCAAAAGGCACTCTAGGAGAAAATGGGTTTGCTTTTGTTGTAAAGGGACTATAGATAAATGATTCCCAGAAGTCTGGGGTTTGACAGCGTTCTTAAATCCTGCTGATCTTTAAAAAAGGGTGTTGGAGCTGTACATTTAGTAGACTGGGACAAGTAGGCCTCCTTGGGGTACATCCCATCCATCACCACTGTGAAGTTTCAAGAAAGAATGGGAGATACTGTAAACCAGGCTCCCATGTCCCCTGGTTGGCTCGGGAGACCTACAAGGTCAGAAGTGGTATAGCTGCATCTGATGGGAAGTTCAACCAGCAGTGATTTTCCTCTTAAAACTACACGAGGGATCTCCCACCACC